ATGCAGCCCCTGCTGGCCGCAGCCGTCCCCGGGGGAGGCCGAAGGCCGGAGTTTGAGCACACCACTCACCTAGTGACCCGGTCCGGGTCGCTCCGCCCTCCTAGGCCTCAGTTTCCCCGTTACGAAATAAGGCGCAGTGTACTAGTCCCTGCGACGCGGCGGCGAGCTGCTCCGTCACCGCAGCCCTGTGTCCACGCTCCTCCTCTTCCAGTGACTTCTCCAGGGCGAGCCAGCCCTGCACGCCCCTGTCCGAACCTTAGTCCCCGAGATCCAGGAGGCGACTGCTCCCGGCGCGCTGGAAGTGGGTGGTGGGGGGGTCGCCGGCCTCAAGGGATTCCAGAAAGTTCCAAAGACACCACTCGGGGTCGCGGTGCCCTGGGGGAAACCGCTCCGACACTTCCAGCAGGCTAAGGAAGGAAGTTTCGTAGAGAGGAGACCAGGGACAGGGCAGGGACCACGGCCGATAAAGGGTCCCGTGGGCCGTCCCTGTCGTGCCAAGGCGTCCTGGGGCAGCTGGGGCGGGAGTGGCCGGAAGCCCCAGGCAAACGCAGAGGCGGAGATGACATTCCAGGCTGGGAGACCGGGGAAGGCGGACAGGGAAGACAGACAACACAGGCTCGATCTCACTAGGACCCAGGGTACCACGGCATGGGACAGGATGGGAAGGCTGGGCCGGTCAGTGAAGGGAACTTCATTCTGCAAACAGCAGGGAACTAAAGAATTGCAAACGTTGGTGAGGGTTGTCAGCAGCGGGAGGTGCTACTGCAGATTTAGAGGTTGGGGAAAGGGAGAAATGGGCTGGAGAGGAGAGGGAACGTAGTCTCTTGGGCTTGACTAAATCTGTCACGGAGAGGCGACACGCACCTAGGCGGCTGCCTGTGGTGATGCAGAGGAGGGAGTTAGGGTCTAGTTTACTAGATGAATCGAGGAGAAGTGGAGAAGTTAAGGACAGATGCTGGGGTAGAAACCCACAGGTGGTCAGACCTAGCCTAGTGGTTAAGGAAGCTGGGTCCCACGTGGTGAGCGGCGATTTGGATTCTGCCATCCCCTCCCTGCCCCCAACAGTGTGGTTCACGTCCCAAATCCCGAGGGGACATGCCCCACTGGGAGGTGTTTTCTCTCTGTCCCTCTCTGTTTCTGCCTCTCTCTAGAGGGCACACGTGCCCTGTAGCAATTAAAAATAAAAAGGTTGCTAGATACAAAGCCAATATGTTAAAATGAATAATATTTCTACACACCAGCAACAGTTTGAAATATCTAAGAGGATTGAAAAGCCCACAAGGAGCTCAGTGACAAGAAAATCTGGCCAGTCTCCATCCACCCATTGGTTTCTAGGCTGGAGCTTCCTTGGGTTGCTGAGTCATGGCTAGAGAGGGTGGTGGCTGCAGGGGCAAGGCAGGAGCAATTTCACTAGGACTCCCTCCACACACTCCGGGAGCAGCCCTCTGCCCAAGTCTCACCCTGACCCACAGGCAGCATGGGGCAGCTACTCTGGCATGGGGTGTCTTGCTTATCCTCATGGGGGGGGGGGTCACACCCAGAAGCCTAAGCACCAGAGCCAAGTGAGGGAGTGTGGGAGCACTGAGAGCCCGAGACCCATCTGAAAGGGCTGTTAGCTGATGGGCACCATGTCGGAATGAGGTCCCAGCCAAGGCATGTCTCTCAAGAAAACTGGAAATGTGTTTTGCTTTTTAAATACTTACTTACTTAGCTTTATTTGTTATTATTTTAGAGGCTTTTGCCATAGGGCACATGCACCCACCAGAGAAAGAGACGGACACAGTGAGAAGGTGAGAAATTACCCCCCAGGGTGGATGGCCACTCTGCAATCCCTTCTCCATTCTCCTCCTGGGACCTTGGGTGAGCACACGCACTCAGCGAAAATTGCAATCCACCAGGTCTGAGATTCAAACCGCTGTCAGCCATGTGGGAGCCCAGAGATGTAACCATTATGCCATCTGCTGACCCCTTGTTATTATTTTTTAATTTGACCAGAGAGACAGAGAGAGAAGGAAAGTGAGAAAGCAAGCTGCCAGATCCAGGACTTGAACTGTAGTTAGCCATGTGGGAATCTAGCACTTTAACCACCACACCACCACTGACCAGTTTTTGTTTTTTTATTGTGAGGTTTTTAACGTGAACTTTAAATTTGGCTATCAATTCAAACAAAAAGCAGGCCTCATATATCCAGAAGCCCTGTGCAACTCACTCCCAATTAGTGATCTGTTACCCCCCCTTCTCCTCCCTGACCCCAAAGCTGAGCAAGATAAGAATCTGAAACCTGGCACGATGCCCAAGAAAACAGGTACCTGGGAGCTCTTTCATGTTTCAAAACTCCCAGCTATAAGAAAATGAAGGCAGCTTTCAGGTAACTTGGAATAGAAATTTCTGCTGCCTAACATCTTTCTTCCTAAACTTTCTGTTGCAGGTAATAAGAACAGTTTGTCTTCAAGTGCCTTACCCGTGTTATCTCGTTTTGCAGATGAGAACACTGAAGCTCAAAGAAGTAATTTGCCAAGGACTCCCGGGTAGAAATGCCAGAGCAAGCAGTCATACCCAGACACCTTTTGATTTCAGTGCCTGAAGGCCTCACCAGATGGGAACAAAACTTCTGCCACTCTTACACGGACACTGCCCTGTGAAAGACCCCAGGGCTCGCTGCAGATGGTAAGGGGAGAAGGGACAGGAGTACAGTCATGGCCTCAGGTAGGGGTGAGTCCTTGTTCCCTGCCTGCACTTGGAGGCCCACAGTTCACACAAGAGGTACAGTCCCTCTGACTGGACGTCCACAGTCCACAGGGCAGGATGCGGAAAGCAGCAGAGGTGGAGGTATTACATGACTTGGTCAAGTCCCCGCAGCTGGTCACTGGCAGAAATTGCAGGAACAAACAGGCAGCATTATTCATTCTCCCAGTCAACAAACAGCCTTTGAGCCCAGCTATGCCTGGCACCGTCTCTGCAGTCAAGCCCTGGATTTACAATACAGTTTTAAGTGTAACTGTAATTGCATGGACTAAGTTTTAAATGCATGTACTAGGGGGACAGGAGGGTCCCTGTCGTCTTTTTATATGCTCAGGTACATATTCAGTACTTCCACAGCAGACGCAGAGCTGAGAGGAGGAAGGAAATTGCTGGGAGAAAATAATTTCCTGTTTGCAAAAGATGGAGGAGTCGGGGGAGGTAAGAGAGGGGCTGCTTTAGGAACTCAAGTGCACAAGGTAAAGTGGACACAGGCTCTGCTCATGTTTCCCAAGCTCCACAGAGAAGAAACCTCGTTTTGTTTTAATGTTCTTTTAAAAATGTGTCGTTTTATTGTTAGAGGGTATGTGTATTCGCCAGAGAGAGACAGTGGGAGAGGGAGAAATCATGCCCTTGGGGGCATGGTCATGCTGCAATCTCTTCTCCATTTCTCCATTCTGTCATGATTTTGGACACGCATGTACATGTGCTAACTGTAATTGCATGGACTAAGTTTTAAATGCATGTACTAGGGGGACAGGAGGGTCCCTGTCGTCTTTTTATATGCTCAGGTACATATTCAGTACTTCCACAGCAGACGCAGAGCTGAGAGGAGGAAGGAAATTGCTGGGAGAAAATAATTTCCTGTTTGCAAAAGATGGAGGAGTCGGGGGAGGTAAGAGAGGGGCTGCTTTAGGAACTCAAGTGCACAAGGTAAAGTGGACACAGGCTCTGCTCATGTTTCCCAAGCTCCACAGAGAAGAAACCTCGTTTTGTTTTAATGTTCTTTTAAAAATGTGTCGTTTTATTGTTAGAGGGTATGTGTATTCGCCAGAGAGAGACAGTGGGAGAGGGAAAAATCACGCCCTTGGGGGCATGGTCATGCTGCAATCTCTTCTCCATTTCTCCATTCTGTCATGATTTTGGACACGCATGTACATGTGCCCCGTGTTTTTTTCAAGCCACCACGGCAGGATTAGAACCGCATGGCCTTATGGGATTGGCTCCTTTAACCACTAGGCACAGGACTGGCCCATGATTCATGTAATATTCTATAGGAATAGTAAGTATTCATAAATTATATAAATGTATACATTCATACATTCATATATTATAACTTAGACGTTTTAGATAAATAACCCCAAAGACAAAGACAAGGGCATGATGTACCTGGGGCCCGGACAGAGAGAAGTGTTTTTCCTGAGCTGTTGCCAGCCTCCGTTCTCCGGGTCCCACAGGGGACCAAGGCCGTGACTCCACAGCATCCTTGGCATAACGGGGCAGTGAGTGATGGGACACTAATGGGCTTCCCCACCACCAGGATCAAACCGTGTGGCCCTGGGTGCTTCCTGCTAGTGTACGACAGGACGAAGGGCAGGGGAGAAAGACGAAGTCAACCCCGACCCATCACACAGAAGGTACAAGGGCACGCTGCTGCTTTTCCTTGAGTGTAGCCTACTCTTTTTAAAGATAGTTTTTGCCATAGATTGCAGTGCTCAATGGCAAGAGACAGAGACAAAGAGAGGGAAAATGATGAGAAATTAGTCCCTGTCCCAGGGGGAATGGTCATGCCGTAATCCCTTCTCCATTCTCCTGGGATTTGGGGAACGTACGCACATGTAACCAGTGTGATTTTTCAAGCCTCCAGGTCCAGGACTTGAACTAGGTTCAGCCTTGTGGGAGTCCAGCACCTTAACCATTACACTGCACCAACTGCTGTTTTCAGGCACCCAACTTGTCTTTTCTTATTTTTTTGAGAGAGATTTTTGCTAGAGGACACATGCACTTATCAGAGAGACAGAAAGCAAGAAACTACTCCCCCCTCTCCCCCGGGGCGGGGAGCCGGTAGATGGCAATCCCTTCTCTTCCATTCGCCTCTTGAGATTTTTGGGGACACACGTGCCAAGCGTGAGTTTGAAGCTTCCGGGTCCAGGACTCAAACCGTGGTCAATTACATGGGAGTCCAGTGGAGTAACCACTACACTATCCACTGGTCCCGTACCGCACTCTTAACCCTTGTTCTCTATATCCCAGGCACCAGTTCACCATCCTCCTCTTGACCCTGGGAGACGAAACGGACCAGGCAGAGGGAAAGCAGACCCAGCTCTTCTTCAGGGGCCCCATCGGCAAGCACCCCTGCCCCAGCTCCTGCTCACATCCGTACTAGGCCCTCCCCACCCCGCAGGCCCTGAGCAGGCTGCAGCCCGGTGGGATGGGGTGCACTGCTGGGTCTGATCCCTCCACAGTCCACACCCCACAGACACCGCACTCCTGGCTGGTCATCAGCCTGTGCCTTCGTGCCCACAGGGCCTGACACGTGGCAGTTGCTCAGTAAATGCTCGGAAAGGGAAGGAGGGGTCTAAGGCAGCCTTTGTTTCTTCTCCATGCGAAGTCACAGTAGAAATGGGAGTGACTGAGAGGAGAGAGAGCAGTGGCTGGGGAGTCAGAGAAGAAAATTAATGGCGAGACATGGCTGTCCAGGGGCGGGGCCTCTTGGGCAGGAGGAGGGGAGGTGGTCACATTGTCCTGTTGTCCTTTTCAGCCAGGCCAGGGAAAGTCCTGTCGCACAGCGTTACACACTCAGCGCCTACCGTTCAGGAGGAGGTCCTCTCAAGGTGCCCAGCAGGATGTGTTGAACCAGGTCGGGCCCATGGCTCAGTGGTTTAGCACTGTCCACTGGGAGCTGGACCCCTCATGTCCAACCACAGCCCGAGTCCCAGCCTTAGCACATGTTCGTATGTGCCCAAGATCCTGACAGAGGGGAGACGTGGAGGAAAAAGGAACAGCGTGACCAGGGCCCGTGACCAGGCCCTCCCCTTCCCCACTCTGGTGAGCGTACTCATAAAAAGCGTGGCCATAAAAATAATAAAGAATGCACTGAGCCAGCAGAGTGGGTTCTACTAGGAGCTGGCTGGATGAGGGTTCAGGGGTGGGCCCTGCTAATGCCCCAGCTCTGGAGCCCTGGTAGTAGCTCCCTTAGTGTCCCTAAGTAGCCCTGTTCCTCAGGGTCGCCAGCCCACCTGGCCACTGCTGCTAGGCAGGTGCTGCAGCCTGACCAGAACTGGAGTCGTTGCTCCTGTCCACTTGCTAGGGCAATTCTTCGAAGCCAAGCTGGCTCCCGGCACCTTGCCTAGGCCTCCTGGGTCCCCACACCCTTGCCGGGACACTGTCTGCCTCTGTGACAGCCCCTCTGCTCCCATCCACTTCCACCCCCTTTCCTCCTGGGCTCTCAGGGCTCTTCCCACACTGTGCTGTGGTCCAGGACCAGCTCACTGGCTGCCCCATCACTGCTGCTCATGGGAGGCCTTTCCCCGGCCAGCTGAGATCCAGGCAGCCTCTGACCAGGCCCCGAGGGCCCTGGGGACACAGTGTTATCACAGTGGCAGAGACCTGGGCCAGTCACAAAATACAAGATAGGATTCGGGTAGGGAA